CAATTGAGAGCAAGAATTGAAGAGTAAGAGATAGTAAGAGTGTCTCTGTTAGAGATCATTAACCCAGACAGCAATCTGCTACTGGCAGGGGGCAAATAGGGGAGCCAGGTAAAAGCTCTGTCCTGTGCTGCCTGATGGAAACACAGACACTCTCATTTCCTAGCTAATAAATGCTACATCTACCCAGCAATCTGTTATCCCAAGGCTCCCAAGACTAGTTTTGGGTATTTACACCTGAGTCTTTCCAGCCCATTAGTTTTCTTGGTAAAGACATGTTGTTGGCGCCATGCTTCCCAGCTGAGCTGCTTTTCCTTCCCGTTCAAACTGTAGTCCTGGGGGCACTGCCCAGACCCGCCAGCATGCTGTACAGAAAAGCCACCGAAGGCTGCTGCACCAGCAGCTCCTCCTCCTGAACTGGAGGACATGGACATCACCCTGGCAGGGGAAAGAGCACCGAGCAGTACATAGAATAGAATAGAATCATTAAGGTTGGAAAAGACCTCTAGGATCATCGAGTCCAACCGTCGACCCAACACCACCATGTCCACTAAACCATGTCCCTAAGTGCCGCATCTACACGTCTTTTAAATACCTCCAGGGATGGGGACTCAACCACTTCCCTGGGCAGCCTATTCCAATGTTTAACCACTCAACATGAAACCAAAGATCGGCTAAACACTGCAAGATTCACACTGGCAAAGGGGAATAAGAAACCATGGACATCTGTGCCTTGTGTTTCAGTTGCAGGACACAGGGATTTGTTCTAGCCTGGCTCCCTACAGAAATGAGGGTTACGGAGTGGGGCTGTTGGCAGTTTTGTCAACCAGTAACTTTTGAGCTTCCTGGGCAATCTCAGCCAGAATTTGACAATGCAGTCAAGGTTTCAAAGACACTGACTTACTGCAAGTTTCATGAAAATAAGTAGTTTTGTAGGTGAGAAGAATCCAGACTCTTGTTTCCTTCAAGAGAAATGTTGCAACGTGAGCTCAGCCATCAAGAAGCCCACAGAAAAAGAGCCACAAGAAACCAGGCAATCTAATTTCTACTTTTCACCAAGCTATTAGGTTTCTTTGCAATTCTGGAAATATGGTAACGATTCTCTGTACTCCGCAGTGCTTGAGGGTACGGGTAGCCAGACTTGCTCATTGTGGCACTGCTGCTGCCACTGCTGAGACACTGAACAGAGAAAAGTCCTCCAGCAGCACTGGTCTCAGCAGAACCTGCATACGGCAGCACTCAGTCATATCAGCTGTGCCACAGGCAAGGCTGGAGGCATATGGGCTAAGTGGGGAGTTGGTTTTTTGTGCGTCAGAGAGAGAGCCTTGTGCCATACAGCCTGCACTGAAACATATAATTAAAGGTGTCAAATGGCAGTATAAGCTGGTCTGTTTAAGCCCATTGCAGAAATTCACTCTTCATGTCCAAATAAATACTTGATTTCTGCAGACACTGCTGGCAGTGTTTTGACAAGGCAATTTAGGATGTTATTTTTGTTACATGAATGCTTGCTCCCAAAGCAGGAACAGGCACAGTCAATGCACTTGGCTAATATCCTACTTAACTGGAACTAACAAGAGGTGTTTCTATCCCACAGGCTGTCCTGTTCCCCCCACCCTGCCCCGCTCTTCATAGCTTTCTCCAAACCCAGCTGAAGTCCCACACACACCAGTGACCAGAGCCCAGAGCAGCCTGTCTCATTCTGGAATGCTTTCAAAAAATTAATTTGGATCTGCTGGTAAGGTTACTAAAAGCCAATGCAGCCCTTTTTGATCTAATTGGCTTTATTTGTTTTAATTTTGGCCTATTCAAGTTCCCACTGAATCTGAAACAATGTCTTGCTGTGAAGAGTTAAAATTTGTCATTGATCCAACAGACCACAGGAAAAAGAAAAGGAAAAAAAAAAAAGACAACTTTTAGCCCCAGGATCCAGCAGTTAAGGTTGAAAGTACCAAGTGTGACAGAAATGCCCTGTTAAAAAGATGATAGTTGAATGTAAATTTACTCAAATTTACTCAATTATTTGATAAAAACAATGTTAATAAAGGAAATGTCTCTTTGAAACTCCAGCTTCAAATGTTATACATTTACATTCAAATGTTACATTGCAGTAGCTCCAAACAGCTTCAGAATAAACACTTCTGCTATATGTCCCTTCTGCTGGAGAGAACAAGAGCAGAAAGACCAGTCCTTTCTGCCAAAATCCACTGGAAGGAAGAGAGCTGAGGCAATAAAACATCCTTCCTTCCCCTTGCTGGTCATCTGCTCCCACAAAATGCCTTCAGGGCAGATTTTGCATGGGTCTGGCTTCTGCCCATTTCAGGAGGATGTGGCTAGATGGGAAAGGGTGGAGCAGAGGGACCGTTTTTGGCCAGGGTAGTTGTGAAACACCTGCTGTGCCCCTTCCACCCTCAAGCCCAAGCACTTCACAGGCCAAGAATGAAGAGACTACAGCAGCAGAGGTGTTGGGTGAAAACGTACAGCAGGCAGGATGGTGAGGCCTCCGCTAGCTTGCAGGACTGCCCAGTGAAGGTCAGACCTATCCCACATGTCTTGAGATCCCTGCCAGCTAAGATTCACTCCAAGCAGGCCCCTGGGACCTACTTGGTGGCTCGGCAGATGTGATCACATCTGGGGAGATGCGCTAATGGCACTGAAAACCTTTTAGTCCCTGGAAGGCTCTCAGAGAAGACGCTCCTCTCCCATCCTGCTCCCTTTACCACCTGCTCACCTTTGCTGGAGGAGGTCTCTGTAATTATCGGTGGGAGAGAAGAATAGCACTCTTACCAAAGGGATGCTTGTGAGAGTGTCAGCAGTGACAAAAACAGATCACAGCATACTGCTGTAGGGCAACTCCCTAGGAAATAATGTTTCTTATTCTAATACACATTTCATTTTTAAAATCAGGTTGACATCTGTAACTCCTCATGGGAAGTCCTTACTTTCTGGGTATGAACCTCAATATGGGAGTGGATTATGGGGAAACATTCTCTTTAGACGGAGAAGGAGCCCAGGGATGATCCCTGTGAGAAACCATCCTAGGCTGAGACCAACATCTCGTCTTGTGTGAAGTGCAGGTCTTTCAGTGTGCAGGAAACCCTGTGAGGGAATAATATAAAAAAAATGAATTGTCTCTTCTACAACCTAATCATGTCCTCGCCCACGCACTGAGCATCGTAGGGGTTTCTGACAACATTTTGCAGCTGAGTACATTGAAAGAGCAGCACTGGGAAAGGAAGAAGAGCAACCAAAACTGTGTCATCTTCTCAGGCTCATTCTAGACCTTTTTTTTTCTTTTCTTCGTTATTTCATTTTTACCAAAACTCACTGTCCTAACAAGGACATCTCTGCTGGCGTAAGTCCTAATGCAGATGCAGTTACTAAAAAAAGCTTGTTCTGTTTGGGAATGTGCGAAAGAACTCTTGTGGCTATCAACTGCAAACCTTCGCCAAGGCAGATGGGCTCCAATTCAAGCATATGTTTGCTAAAACGAAGGGAAGGGCTAAAGCACAGTTTCCTTCAGTGTCAAAACTCACCTTCCTGTTAACATGCAATATGTACAAAGTGTAACAGACCAAGATTGCTTATTTACGCATCTTCAGAACAATGTTTTCTCTTTTCAGGTCTGTGACAGGTTGAAGTAGCTCTTCAGTGCTATTTATTTATTCGTTCATGTCCCATCTCATGCAGGTCCACCCCTGACAAAACACTTGACATACTGTTTCACAGTCATTTTAAGATGATCTAAAACCAAGCTGCCATTGAAATGAATAATCCCAGCCTTCTCCTCTCCCTACCTGCTGCCTCTCAGTCCTTGTCCCTTCCTAAGGTCAGCTCCAGCAATTGCGCAGCTATGCATCTCACACATTCAACATTAAAGCCTCGCCACTCAGTGACAGCTAGGTAGCTTTCAGATTAGCCAGGCCAGGGGGACACTAGGGCACAGCAGAGGTTCCCTGTCAACAAACAGCCCTGAAGAGTAAGAATCCACCAGGCAAGAAAGTAGATGCCCCATCTTCAAGCACAACTGCTCAGAACAGTTGTCCCTGGCACCACAGGCCCTGTGTCAATAGTGACACATGCGACTTTGGTCTGAGGTGGGCTGCACCACTTAGTGCAACCAAAAAATCATTTTTACCTGAATCCATCCAAAGAATCTGTCTTTGATTAAAGCTGGCCCTGGCTCAGTGTGAAAGGCAGCACCAGGAGTGTCACTTAGGCTGTTCCTCCCCAACACCTTCATCACTTCCTCCCTCTGGCCACATCTGTATGTGGGCACAACTGCCAGGCAAGGCAAAAGAGGGGATCCCAATGACCCTTTCTTTCTGATCATTGATTGCTGGGCAGGCACCTTAGGAAAACAACATGGTTGTTTCTCAACCATCATGGTGTCCATGGTTAGGAAACAGAGCAAAACCACAGGGAGATCACTCCTTTTGCAAAATGCTGCATGGTTTTATCTACTCAGAAGGAGAAGGGATGGGAATTCAGAGCAATCATCTTGCTGTGGAGCTGCTTCCCTTTTATGGAGTAGAGCACCGCTCCAGCTCTCACACAGCACTGCTGTGCTCCAGCCAGTCACACACACGATTGTCCCAAACAGCTGGGATTTTAAAAGTACACTAGCTTTGAATGAAGTAGCTGGCTGGCTGATACTCCAATGGGTCTAGATGTGTGGTGGGGGGAAACTTCAGTCATCAAGCAATTAGCAGCTCCAGCACAGAGTAAAGTCAGTTACTATTTCAGGGAAAGGAAAGGCAACTGTTCCCTGGGGGGAATGACTGCACTAGCTCAGCACCAGGAATAGGCTGAGATTTTTTTTAATTTTTTTTCCCCCTACACTTCAGGAAAAGCGAACACACAATGTTCATTCGCAGGGATCGTTTCCTGAACATGATGTGTGCTCGCTGTCCCACAGGTCACTTTCCAGTGTGTCACATCCTTCTGCACAAGGGAGAGCAGGAAATGGCAAACTCCCAGTATGAGGCAAAGCATTCCCATTGCAGCAATTGGTCCACAGGAGCTATAAATTGGTCTCCTCCAGAAACAGATCAAAATTTGTCTTTGCGGAGGTCGGCTGGAAACTAAAGGTAAGTTTAAACCAGTATTTTTTGGGGTCTCTCCGAGTACTGTATTAGGAAAGTATTTGCAGGTTTTGGACTAATGTATACCTTTATTGTTGGGGAGATTTTTCTGTAAGAGCAGGAGTTGGTTTTGTTTTCCTTTATGCTGGCATAAATCAGTGTATTCAAAAGACATGCATCACTGTATGGCTTATGCTATATATTGAATGACTGTTCTACTAACTGCAGTGAGATGGCTGCTGTTATTACCTGAGATTGTTCTCAGCAAGAAAATCTGCAGAACAAATTGTTAAAAGGCTACAGGAATCGATATATTTAATGATCATCATATTGATCTGTTATTAAGTTATTGATGACATGCTCAATGTTCATTTCAATGCCGGTATCCATTTAGCCTAGTGTTAGTCCTTGTGCTTTTAGCTTCATCTCTGACTACAGTGTAAAAAATAAAAGGACACTGCCTCCAGCTAAGAAAAGCACAATGTACTAAGTGGCTCAAGTGGTCCAATGATACCAAGGGAGACTGGCGTCATTGTTCTGAAGGGCATAGGGGGAGGTCCTAAAGGGTTCTGTGTCAGATGGATTAGGACAAGTAGAAGGGGAAAAAATTGCAGTGAGAATTATTTACTTACACACTTCAGGATGGAAAGGCTTTTTATAGTAGGAGGTTTCCTCCTTCTGAAACACAAGAATTCTGCAGAATGAAAGCCCCAAGGATCCTAACTATATAGCGTGCCCATGTGAGGGACCAGACACCTCCAGTTCACACAGTACAGAAGACTTAGAAGAGAAAAGGTGGCTGCAGCAATGAATAGTTTTGTTTAGTTCGCTCTGGGACAGGGTCTTTCTGCTACAGAGACTTCTTTTGGCTATGAGGGCATTATGGACTGCAAACAGCTTCTTAGCTCTATGGCTAGGCCTTGCTAGGTGCAGAGGCAGTGCAGCCTTGTGCACGGTGCAGTGTTGCGGAGCACAAAAGCTCTGCTCCCACCAGACAACTTGTGATGCTACATCACTCCTGTTGCCTCCCTTGCCTCAGTTGCCCTAGATGTAAGCAGGGTTAAGGATGCTGGTTTCCTTTGTAAAGCACTTTGCAGCCCTAGAGCAACCTGCAAATGCTTATCGGAACATTTCTTTCTACCCTTGTGACAAAGAACAGAGAGCAACAAGAGATCACCTAGCACCGAAACCCTGAAGATTCACCCTCTAGAAGGGAAGACACTCTCCTGCTATCTTGCCAGGGAAGGTTGCCACAGCCAGCAGCTTTCAAGCCTTTTCTATTCACAGGCCTCTATATTTCCCGTTTCCCCATCCCCAAGGGAGTGCGCACTGAAAGTGGGCTCGCTTTTCTGATGTGTCCTTCATGAACCTTTCAAACAAGGTCCATAGGCCTCCCTGCCACTGTCACTGGGGATCCACCACGACAGGTTGGACTAAGCACCACAGAACAATGGTTCCCATCTTTGTCCAGACCCTGACGCCAAGTTACAATAGGAAAAAAATGCTGCAGGACCTTGAGTTGCTTAGGCATACAGAAAGGAAGGATGTTCACAATACCCGTCTGAGACATCAATGAGCTTCTCACCTCATAGATGGAAAAACCAGACCTTGACTCCCCTCAGCAGCTTCCCTCTGTCCTCCTTTAATGGGAAATGACCCCTAAATAGCAACCTGGGATGGGTGGCTTTCACCTCCTCAGAGCCTTGCCTTTCTTGTGAAAGATGCCCTTGAATATTGCAGATCCTCTGAATCCCATAGTGGGGACAACAAATTCATTCTGACAGCATTACTACTCTGGGCACTAAATCACTTAATCTCAAGGGAATTTCTGTCCCCAGGGTTGGAAGAGACGTTTTGTGTCTTCACAGAGATAATAACAACTGCACCTCTCACCCCAGCCCTTAAGATATTTTAGTCTTCCCAGGGAACAAGAAAAACATTTAAAAGTTCCTCTGTCTGAAAGTTACAGTGGAATATGGTAATTAAATGTACATGTGTGTACGTGCATGTGTGTGTGTGTGGGTGAGTGTGTACGTGTGTGCAGACAGCAAACCTTTCATGTCGCTGGGTGAAGCAAAAAAAAAATTGGCTGGATGCCACCCCTGAAATGGTGGTCCAGGCTGAGCATGTCTCATGGGTTTTTTTAACATAAATCCCAACCCAGGTTTTTCTGTTTCTGGACAGAGGCCATGGAGAGAAACGGTGCTGCCTTTCCCCAAACACTAGACCCCACGCACCACTTCCACATAGCGCTGCTGGATCAGAGACGGAGGCTGCGTGGCCAAATTGCTCACCTTCACAAGGCGGCTCGTAAACTCAACAAGCTCCGCAAAAGGTCCCTGATTGCCAACGTCAGTGGGAGCACCCTGACTGCTGCGGGAGCAGTCACAGCCATCGTGGGGCTGTCCCTGAGCCCGGCGACACTGGGAGCCTCTCTCCTGGCGTCGGCTGTGGGTCTGGGCCTGGCCACTGCCGGGGGGGCCGTCAGCATCACCTCCGATCTCTCCTTAGTGCTCTGCAATTCCCGGGAGGTGAGGAAGGTGCAGGAAATCGCAATGACTTGTCGGAAACAGATGAGGGAAATCCTTGGCTGCCTGGAGTTCCTCCGCCGGGGGCAGGGCCCCGGGGACCCCACACTGCGCCAGTCGGAGAAGAGGGCCTCCATCTCGCTGTACAACTCCATCTGCTTCATGGTCTTCTGCGGCTCCCACAGTTTCCTTGTGCCAGAGTACACAAAGGAGGTCACAAAGGTGAGCCAGGCCGTGCTGAAAGCCAAAATCCAGAAGTTGGCTGCCAACCTTGAGACCTGCACCAGGGCGATGGATGAAGTCTGTGAACTTCTTGAGTCCAGGACAGAGCTTTCCCCACGCATAAGGAGACTCAGCTTGGGTGCTAAAACCACTGCTGAGAGCCTAAGACCATCCAGCTGAAACAGTGTTTGCTCCATAATTAAAACCAGGCTTGGAGACATTACATTATTAATTGCCACCATTAGCACTGCTACCTGTTGCTATTTTAATATTGGTCATGCTCATCCACACAGGCGTGCACATCTCTCCTGTGCCTTATTTATATCTGAACACAAACTCCTTCATAATAGGAAGCTAAAGCTTACACACACACACCCCCTGCCACCTCACAGCAGCCACGTGATTCAGGCTGGAGGTTATGATGGACACGTGGACTATCGGGTACACAGCAGCAGATCCCAGAGCCTGCAGGCAGGGGTAGGTGGCCGTTCCTCAGACCCACGTTTCCCCAGCCATCTCCCTGGCTCTGCTTCCCCAAGGCAGCAAAAAGAAGCAGGTCAGGAGGCTGATGAAATTCCTGCAGTCGTGGTGCTGACTGACCCTGGATTGCAAATAACTTATGAATCAATGAGTGGTAAAAGGGCTGGTGTACCCTCAAAAAGCCAGCAGCTGCCAATTTCCGGTAGAGTACAGTCCTGTTACCAAGGTACATCTGGAAAGGCTGTTGAAGGAAGCAGTTCCAGATATGACAGACTGTATGGATGGCTCATCATCCCAGGGTGAAATAGGGGGGCCAGAAATTGTTATCCCTTTTGAAGAAACCTCTCTAGGCTGAGAACTGTGATGTTTGTGTTCTATTTATTGACATAGGATTATTTCAAGGTTTTGATATTGTATTTAAGGTTTGTTGGGTTTTTTTTTAAAGGAGGCCTCTGCTCCAAAGGAAAGCAGCTGTTCTTAGAGGCAAAGCAAGTCTGTGGCATGTAAGAGCAAGTCACCTGTTCTTTGGCTGTGAGGGAGGGCAAGTCCCTGAAGGAAAAGGAAAGCATGGCTTGAATGCTGGTAGTTATAAAATAGGTGAAACACGGTCAACCAGTGACAGATCTTAGGAACCAAAACAGGGAGAAGGACAGGTCAGTGACCCTGGGACCAGAGCCTGCCTCAGGGGACTGGTGGAAGAAAGCAGTTGTAACTCTTGCAGCGCGGAGGGAAGCGTAGGTTGGTGTTACTGGTTTGAGCTGGAGCCCAGCTGTGATGGGAGCACATCTGAGAGGTGGAGGTGCCGCTCTTTGTGCAGCCAAGCAGCCTGTGAGACCCACAGTGGTTTGTCTGTGAGGGTGGAGGCAGCACTCATGGAGAGCTACACGTACTCCTAGTAATGCTTCCTGGGGTAAGCTTAATGTTAGCAATATATATACTGGTACTAATATTCAAGAGGGGTGCAGAGGAGTAGGATGATTCAATGGCAGAGCACTTACAAAGCAGGAGGAAGGACTGGGACACTGTTTCAAGTGACTGTTCTGCTAAATATGTCCTTTGTGATTTTTGATCCCTCAGTGCCTCAGTTCTCTGTCTAAAAATGAGGATAGTAGCACTTCCCTACCTCACAAGGATGTTTCTGAGGCAAATATTGCAAAGTGCTCAAGTACTGTGATGATGGGGATCATGTCAGTACCTTGAAGAGGTACAAGGAAGAGACCCCGGAAACTAGCTTGAGACAACTAGAGGAGTTAATGCAGGGATAATTTCACCTCCACAAGTAGGCCCCAGTGGATAAGGGAAACTTCCCTGCAGATGCATGAATCAAAATGATCAGAAAACCCACTCTAATTCTGTAATACTGAGCAAACTCTTAGGAAGGGCAACACTACATCTCACAAACCTTGAATCCTTGTCCTTTTTGTGTCTTCCTCTCATGACATCAACATTTGTTTCTTATAAAGAAGAACAAAAGCTTTGGTCCCTCAGAGTGTGACTCAGATGCCTGTAATGCCCATGCTTGTTTGCCAGAAATGAACAAGTACACTGCTGGTTCAATTAAATGAATATGAAGCACTTTTGTGTCAGTTTCTCTCTGCACACCTTTATATGACCACATTCCTGCCGCCGGCTCACCCTGCTCGATTCCATGCTCCAGGCACTGGAGCCAGGGAATCGATAGGAGCGGCTGGACGTGTTCAAAAGGGGAGAATGAAAAGTGAGGTCATCAGCCCCATGCGACACAGCTGGCATTTGTGTATGAGTGTATGCATTTATGCCTGTGTGAGTGCATACCCTGGTGTGCAAATTAGCCCATGTACACTGTGGATGCTGATCTCTGACATGCAAACACTGAGATGCATGTGTGAGGACGTAAGTGTGTTTTTGGAGTGTGAACTCCATAGTGAACACGCTATGCAAAGGCAGGCACGACACCAAATTTTTCTTAGTAATCCAGCATATCACCAGCTAACCCTACCAGATCAGTTATGACTTCACCATACTTCTGAGACGGCTGGTTTTATCATCACAGAGAAAATTATATAACTTATATAGTTCTCCTACCTCCTCCTCAGTTTTCTAGTAGTGCAGCTTTGTCCACATGTCCATACACAGGGAACAACATAGGAAAAACAACAGCTCTGAATGGACTAATCTGACTGGCGGGAGGATCTGAATTTTATAGCTTAGAGCTTCACGAGGGCTGGTTTGTTCTGCTCAGCACAGCCCTGCACTGCAATCACAGCCACTGTTTCAGGAGCTGGGACAAATCGGAAACGTTTGCTTCCATTCTCAGCCACAGAGGCAAAAAAAATCGTGCTTCTGTTCTGTTTTTCCCTAGATCAACTCTTCACTCAAGTTCAGGATTTGGGTTGTTGCACAGTGCTGCTGTGCAAGTGTGACTGAGCCCAAGGTACCACGCTCTCCTGGCCAGATCTCAGCCACTTCCCTCTCCGGGTTTGTTTGCTAGGAATGCAAAAGGAGGCTCAGGCAGTGAGTGGGGCCCACAGGCTGGAAGATCTGTAATCCTACACAAGACAGAGGAGCTGTATGACTTTGCTCCAAAACCCATCCAGTGCTCTTGGACATCTTCTAAACCAGGTGGTCCTGTGAATCTAAGTCTGCGCCCTCACTCCTCAGCTACGCTTGATCTAGCAGCTAGCAGGCAGGGCAGGAGGTGGTTGGATTCTCCTCACGCAGCTCTGGGCATGCCTTCCTGTCTCCTCCCATGCAGTCAGCACTGGATCTTATGTGATACCCTGGGGAGCCAGCTTTGGGAGCTGTGTTGGTAGCAATCTACCATATTTGGGGGCAAGATTCATTTCCTACTCCTTTTGCTCCCTGGAACAGCTCACTGCTGGGTCAGATGAGCACCAGAGCTGGTACCAAGAAGGCACGTGAAGCAAGCGACCTGGGCTGGGACAGGGGCGCACCTACTCCAGTATTGGCTTAGTTCCAATATTGTGACTCCCTGAGAGTCACAAGCAACATTTGGGGGAAGTGACTTTGGTAAGCAGCTTTTTTACTAGTAGTTATGTTATTTACCCTTCAAATGAGTAGATGTGTTGGTTGAACCCTTCCTTTGGTAGCTGGGGTGGCAGCGGGGGGAAGGGTACGTGTGTCATGTCATGATTAGCCAGGGCTGGCAGTTATGAAGCCTGGCCTCCTGATGCCATTTTCACTCGCCTTTTATTGAAAGTGCTGCAGGGAGGAATGAGTCAATGGTGAACCAGGAATGCAAACATAATTTTAACACAAAGTCCCATAGTATGTTTTGAAAGCAAAATAAAAGGTGTCTGTGACAAAGGAGTCTGAGTATAGTCAGGGAGTCAGGATATCCCAATAGCCCCTCTCTGGGCATCCCAGTGAGTAGACAGGACCATTTACCATTAACTGTGACCTACTATACACACTGTCCATCTTGTCTTGTTATGTATCCCTTGTGAAACAGTTGGCATTATACCTGCACTAAAATTCATCTGCTGTGGATGCTCCCACCCTGAACCCCTTAAGGAAGACTGAGCTTGTAACATGCAGTAGGGCTAGCAACATATTTGGTCAAAAGCCAAGTCTAAAAGCCCTGGAGTGAAAATTTCTAAATCCAGTATAATCTGCAGTGTCCTATGCTGAAAAGCACAAAAAGGGAATCACCATTTAGAAGTGAGTGCTTCCCAGCAGCAGTTTAGGACGGGAGGGAACTTTTATTCAAATACATCTATTGACAAAAGGGATTTAGCCAAACTGGAATTTCACCAGAATAGAATTGATCCACCCTGCTCCCCACCAAAACAGCACCTACTGTATTATATGGGCAATGAGTTCAACAAAGAATCACAAGCAGTGACTTCCCGTCACATGCCTGACTCTATTTCCTGAGGCATCCCAGTGACCCTTATACGGGTTCATGTCTAAGTACCGGCCAGGCTTAACCTTCAGCACTAACGATATATAGCGAGCTCATGGCTCAGACTGCTGTGATTTTTGAAACATATGATCAGAACTAGCATCTACATTGGATGTTTCTTGGTTTTTTGTTTCAGGTTTTTTTATTTATTTTAAAATCATTGCTCCTGAGCACAGCGGGATGCAGCAGTTTCATTTCCACTGCTGCCCAGTGAATTGTTTCAGGTTTCCTCTGCTTTCCCTGTCACGCAGAGAGTTTGTTCGGATTTCCTCTCACTTTCCTCATTGTTCTGGGAGCAGAGGAAATGGCACGCTTGGAATCCAGTGACAGATGCTCAGGTACGTCAGCATTTCCACTGTGAGCACACCCAGCCGGGCTTCCCAACCAGCAAGAGAGAGGGAGGTGTGCTCAAAAACGCAGTCACGAGTTCCGTTTTGCAGTTGACTCTGCTGTCCTTTCGAAGACTGAGCTCTTTGATACATTAGCATCCTTTTCCTTAAAACAAAGCATGTTCACCTAGCTGAAAGGTTGCCCTGCTGCAATCAGCATTGGGACTACAGATCAGAGAAGCCACACCCAGACCAGATGGAAACCAATGAGCTCAGGAACTACCATCATGACATGATATTTTGATGCTGCTGTCCGTTGAAGGGCACTAAATCCATCACCATTTTCACCTCTCACTGTGTACTTGCAGGCTCCCTGGCCGAGTCACAACAGCAGCAATCAAGAGAGCTGGGGGAGTGTTTGCATCTATTCCCATCCCCTATTCTCTCATCTCATGCTGCAAGTTGCTACAGTACAGTTTATTTTATGTATTTCTGGCACTTTAAAGGTGCACACTGGCAGTTACCGTAAACAGGAAAACAAGGTGGAACAATGACGGTTCTTGACTTTTCTTTTTTTCCTTTCACTAGTACTTCAAAATGTTTCATAGCAGCACTTCTGAAGAAGTTAATTTGCCCCTTTTTATGTATTATATATGTAAGTTTATATATATTCTTCTATTTTTGTGCCTGGCTAACTCATTTTGTCTTGTTCTTTCGCAGTTGTAGAATTTATGAATACGGAACACCATCACGCACAACTGCCTAAGCAATGCAAATGCAGAGCTGCAGGCCAGAGGCTCAGCTATTTGCGGGTAATGCCAAGCAGGCAGGTTTTCACACAGCCAGTTCAGCGTGCTCTTACCCCAATACAGGTGGCTATAGCCTCATAACTCCCCCTTCCCTGGAGACCTCTCTGGAGTTGAGTGAAAACCCACCCACAGCTTCTAATTCAGCAAAGCATAGCACTCGTCACATGAATCGACCCCCTTTGCAGAAGCATAAGCCCAATTAAGTTTAAAGAAACCAAGTCTTAAACACATTTAGAAGAGAGGCCTCCGCAAGTGTGCTGCTTAATGACCTTGTGCAGAGTCAGGATGTTTCCGCAGACATGGCAACTCGGCCGACGTCGGCTCCTTTCCATCGGGAGAGGAGAAAATGACAGCATTCGGTACCCCCGGCATTACACCCACTTCCCAGAGGGCTGCACTCTGAGGAGCTCCGGATGCAGAAGACGCCTCCTGACCTCAAAAAAC